GCTCCGGTGGCCTAGTGGATAGACCGTCCGCCTCGGATGCGGTAAGTCATGGGTTTGATCTCCGTTCGAGTCATACCAAAGACCTACAAAAATGGTACTAACAGCTGCCTCACTTGACGCTCAGCATTAAGAGGATTGTGTTACGACTGGTCGGCCTAGTGTCATGATAGTGAGACTAGGTGGAACATCATGCTACATGTCTGCGGATTGATGCCCAAGAGCTAGACATCACTATAAAAACTGCCACCCAGCATACATCGTAGCGATATAACTGAAACATTTTAAAGCTACGTTAAGAATTATAAACAACACACAAATCATATTAGTAAAAGTGACCATGTGTGTTTTTTTTTTCAAAGTTCAGAATATAATTATCATCATTAATTTGGAACGCGCAACAGAGACATTTTTTGCACAAAAGCTCTTCATGAAGAAATGGAACATCTTGCGCACAAATATACTTCTGAAGATGTCAAAGATAGACAACTAATGAATATTTTTTTAACGTAGCATCAGTTGTTTTACATTTTGGTTAGGAGAAGAATTCTCGTAAACCCATACGATCAAACTGTATTGAATATGTCCAAAAATTTGTATATATTATGGGCACAGTAGTTATGGAATACTAAATACGAATATATAGACTTTATCTAAGTTGATATAGTATTGTATTATCCAGGATGAGTTTTTTTCCGATATGGAGAAGGCTCTAAATAGTTTCAGAGATATGGAAATCCATCACATGAACTGACCAGAGTTGTGAGAAACAGACCCTTACCGGATTTTGACTTAACTGGATTTATCTATATAGTCATTCAAGTTTACAAATATCCATCCTATTACTTATGTTTGGCTTGGATGACATTTGTCAGAAAAAATGATGGGTTTCAGTAGTATTATTGCGATATATGCTTGATGCTTGAATTTTAATATTTTTCAGACGAGATGAATCATTCGTATATTTCACAAAAAAATATTGGTTACCAGAACTGGATACATTTAATAAGGATGATGATAGGAAGAATTTCCTGATCCTGATAAAGATGACAGTTTTAAAATTACTAATAATATACGTAAATGCAGGGAAAATAATGATAAAAAGCGTCAAAAGATTTTGATAGAGACAGAATTAGTAAATTTACTCAAGTTAGTTCACACGACGGTAAACGACAGTGTAGAAAGATCATGATGGACGATGTTGAAATAGATTGCATAATAGCTGACACAGCAGAGAAAAATACATGTATTAGCTGACGTAATGCTTATTTATCGAATGGGATCAAACTATGTACAATTGTCAGCATTTTAATGGCGGATCACCGCAGTTTACTCATTTAACATGTTTGATGCTAGCCTATGTTTTGATAAATCTATTGTCAATAATAAATATATTTTCTCGTTACGATGTCAGAGTTACTACGGATTCATTTTATATACATAACAATATCAGGAATTATTAAAACAGCTACTAGGTTATGGTGAATGAGAAACATGGAGGATAAAAGAAGAAAATGTACTTAATTATTCTGAATCTTGCAAAGTTGAAATTAAAGAAATATATTAAAAAATATAATCAAGTATCAAAGTCATATGTATAGGATCATGTGACTCGACATAAGACTGTTCATCTTAATGGATACGTAGTTCAGGTAAAACAAGTCGTGCGATTAAATTATTCCTGAACAACCATTCAAATATAATTTTTTTTGACACCTACACATAAACCTGCCAGATAAATGAGAGAAAGAATCACTGCGTTGTATTGGTATATATTTTTGTAATTGCATTAGAAAGTTTCATGGAAGTTATTTTATTTTCTAATGCAAATATAACACTTGGTAACCTTGCTATTCATTCTCAAGATCCCTCAGCGGACTTGAGGTCAGTGATTGCTTCCCTTGACTATCGATATCCAAATAACGTGTTCAACGATTGCCTGATCACGATGAATTTCAGTATGCCCTCGTCCGATTTTAACGTTATTTTCTTAACCAAAGATAATAATGTACAAAGAAATTTTTTGCCATGATCAGCTTGTAACAACTGGCCACCGCAGACCATCATATTGATAAATTTGTTCAATCGCAGATGCAACTTTAGTTGCTGTCTTTGTTGACAATGGTTTACCTTAGTTATATATAACTGAAACGTCAACGAGACAATCATTGAGTATTTGTACGTGCTTAATTTTCGTTCACGTATTGTAATATTATCTTGAGGTAAACAAAATATCTGCTTGATGAACTTCACAAGAATTGTGACATCAAAATATGCGCATTGAATGTTGTAGGTGGTTGTAGATATGTATGTCATATTGCCTGTCTTGATAATCAATTTGCACCAATAGAATGTGTGACTTTTGTTTCTCCAGCAAGTTTACTAATCGCCGCGAATAAATAGATTCCATTATGATAGTTATATAGTTAATAACCAGCCTCTAGCAATATTTTACCTTTCATAACAGACTTTTCTAGACAACTAGCGACTTTTTATCTGAGAGATATATTAGGTATAGAATTGAACGCATGAATCAATTTCACATCTGCGAGATGCCGCTGCTGCAAATCTTTAATTTTATATGCCACATCAGGAAATTGACCCACATGATCTATCTTATTTACTGGATGCTCTCCTGATCTTGGTTGATCTTGATCGTTAAGTCTGATAGCAAGTCGAGTAAACTGATCAAAGTAATTATATTCAGGACTTTGTTTATATCCGACGTAGTTAACCCATGGAACTCCTGGCAATTTCCGTAATGAAGCAGCGATATATCTAACTGTCCTTGTAGATGAGATAAATTTATATTTTTAAGAGCCACATTTTACACATTTACAAGTTAATTTCTTTTGTTATCGTTGTCAGTTCAGCACTGGGTATAGACACTCTACATCAATCACAATATAGAATCATGTTATTAATAATTTGGATATAGTTGACTTTCCGGCGACACAATAACAGGTACTAGTAAAGCATCATCGCGCTTTACCAAATTCGATCAGGATTATTATAATACGTCCATCTGGATCAAGTAATAATCGATTTCGTTCTTGATTAATGTGATCATTTGACTGCAATATCAACAAAAAAATTGTTTAATACCATGAAATACAAGCCAAAATCAACTGACTACATTATGGAATGAATACCTCAAGTTCAAATATGTCCAGCTTTTCAATATATCTTCTTTACGTTAAAAAGTCAATTTGGACTTTGAAACCGTAAACCACAAAATCAATGGTCTTATTCTTTGTACACAATGCCAGTCACACACAAAATTTGGTCAAAATAGGAACACCATTTAACGAGTTTTATTGAAACGATATTCGGAGACCTTTGACTCCAAAATCAACAGGTGTATTTAGTTCCAATACATGACATCCACATTCTCTGGAATATAGTGAGTAAAGAGGAGCAGAATACACTTTCAGCAAAGTCTAATTCCTTAAATAGTTAGTGGCCAATACCACTGGCTACAACATCAATGTAACAGTATTAATTTCGGAATATCATTACTGCACCATAACTGAGTGGAATCTTCTTGCGATCAAGGTGACATCTAACAATTAACTTTAAAAGTATAGACTCTCCCGTAATAAATAACTCCTTGCGAAGGATGGGTGCTCGCTACATGAGATATGACACGATAACATTCTTAATCAGGACCCTATTGAATAATGGTTTGAGATAGAGAAAAGACAACATAGATACAATGTAGAGACAAACCAGAGTCATTACTGAGTCATATAGATTGTGACTATGTATGTGTGTGTAAGTTTGGAAATTTAATGTAACCTGTTTACAATTTTACAGTCCTATCGCTAAAGGATGAAAGTGTACAGCGATGTCTGACACTGAGTTATAATGCAGATATATAGCATGATGTTCCACCTAGTCACAGTATAGTAGGTCACGCAGTCCTAACACGAACCTAGTACCCCTGATGATAGAATCATTTTTATATGTCAATGGTTTTACTCTTTTGGGATTAGATGCATTAAACTTCTGCATGCGAGGTAGAAGTTCCAACTACCAGGTAACCGGAACAGTCTTGTGCCATTTGGAAATTTATAGCATACAATTGCATTTCCTGAATAGTTATTAACAAAAATAGAACAAAGGACATCATTCCTAGTGCTGAGGTGGTTCAAAGTTTGGTAGTTAGATATTGTTACCATATTACATGCATTTTTCGCACGTTTAATGTTAAGTTCACAATCCAGTTATCAAAATAATTATTTAAATATATCATAATATTTTGTATATATTACTTAGTACTTTTAAAGAATTCATTAGATTATCAGACATAAAATGTCTACCATGATGCACGTTTTCCAAACGAGAAATACCATGATTCCAGTTTGATTTCGCATTAGTTGATAATTGTTGGTAAGAATAGAATGATTGGTGCCTGACCGTGAGAGCCCGAGGTATAAATCAAGGCGGACAAGTGACCCATTATACGGCAAAACACACACACAAACACACACACACACATACATTCACACACACACACATATATATATATATATATATATATATATATATATATATATATATATATATATATATATATATATATATATATATATATATATATATATATATATATATATATATATATATATATACAGATAATTACTTCTGATCGCTTGTCTATGCAGCATCTACTGTATGTAGAACGGCCTCAGGACACTCGATTCTAATTATATGGAAGAAATGTGAACCAGACTAGAAATGTGTGAAGAAATAATAGAGTATATATACTGGTTTGTTTGTCCATAATTGGTTATTAATGAAAAGCGAAAGTTTAGTAAAAAATATATTTTGGAAACTTAACCTATGTGCAAATATTAAAAACATGACAAACTTATGTTGATCAATTTTAGTATTTTTACAGACGTGAATTAGGATTATTCAATAATGAATGTAGCACTTGATTCGCTTAGTGCAGGATCATTTAATGCACATGTAGGTCACAAACTTATAGCTACTCAATTGTTGTTCTCCACACAGAAGCTTGCAACAAGGATTCTTGTTCATTAAGAAATATAGGTCTGATCACCATTACCT